TTTTTTTTTTAAAGAAGTTAATTTTACCATTGAAATTGAAAAAAAAAAAAAAAAAAAGAATTACCGAGGCCGACACCAGTTTCCGACTATACGTTTCCGGCCTCCATTGGTCTGTTTATTTCTATTAAAAATATGGACGTTCCCACTAACAACGGTACAAAATATTATTTTTATTTTTTTAAATCACTTTATTTTGTTGTTGTTTTTTTTTTTATCGAGACGGACAGCCTGTTCATTCCGTGTGTTTACATCAAACCTGTCATTGGTGGATAGAAACAAACAGCGGGTTGCCGCGTTACATTTTAACGATGTGGCTATTCGCACCCGGGTATCAGAAGCTAGAGGTTGGGATTTAAAAAACTATTTAAAACATTATTGTTGGGTTTGTAAGACAAAATGAGGTATCAAATGAAAGAAAATAGCTTTAAATTTCTTAAAAATGCATTGCGCAAAGAAAATCTTTGCAGAAAATATTTTTATGATTATGAGCAATAATACATTATTATTATTAGGTGGTTTCATACAGCGCAGTCCTCCAGCCAAGGGCTAGGCTCACACTGCAGTACTCCAGCCAAGGGCTAGGCTCGCTGCTGTACCCTAACCCAGGGTTAGGCTCACTGCGCTTCACAAAAAAATTAGCAATTACAGAAAATCATACTCATACCATTAAAAATAACAATTGGTGAAAAGCTTGACCTCACCAACCCAACAGAATCGAGCGTTGTTTAGCAGTTGGGGGGGGGGGAGGGTTAGAATGAGTCGGTATATAAAAGGTTGAAGAGATGGGTGTTGAGGGCAGTTTTGAAGAGATGGGTGTTGAGGGCAGTTTTGAAGAGATGGGTGTTGAGGGTAGTTTTGAAGAGATGGGTGTTGAGGGCAGTTTTGAAGAGATGGGTGTTGAGGGCAGTTTTGAAGAGATGGGTGTTGAGGGCAGTTTTGAAGAGATGGGTGTTGAGGGCAGTTTTGAAGAGATGGGTGTTGAGGGTAGTTTTGAAGAGATGGGTGTTGAGGGCAGTTTTGAAGAGATGGGTGTTGAGGGCAGTTTTGAAGAGATGGGTGTTGAGGGCAGTTTTGAAGAGATGGGTGTTGAGGGTAGTTTTGAAGGCTGGGATGGTCGTTATATTGCGGGTGTGTAGTGGGAGAGAATTCTATTTTTTTGGGGCACAGAAAGGGAAAAATCGTTCACCATGTTTTAGTGGGTGTTCTGGGAACAGAAAGAATGCATGTGTCTGCGGAGGAACGAAGCTTTCGAAGGGTTGAATAGACAGTAAGAAGTTCAGTAAGCTAGGAAGGGCAGGAACCGGAGAAAAAGTTGTGACAGAGAACAGACAGCTTGTAATCAATGCGTGTCTGTATGGGGAGCCAATGAAGTGAGTGAAGTAGTGGACTGGCGTGATCACGTTTCTTTGCCTTTAGAATTAACTTAGCAGCTGAGTTTTGAACTTTCTGCAGTTTTTTCTATGAAGTTATTATTTTATTTTTTTTGTGAACCTGACAGAAGAGAATTTCAATTATCAAGACGAGAGAGAACAAGAGCACAGACTAGTTTTTTTTGTTGCGCTAACTGTGAGGTAGTGGCGGATGAAGCTGATCTGACGGATAGCGGAAGCTGAGTTAGAGGATGATTCATGATTGTGAATGAGGAGTGCTTCTGTTTTGTCATCGTTCAGCTTGTACTCGCTAAGAGTCATCCATGACTTGATATCATAGTTTCCTCTACAATTAATTTGATTCTTTTGGCTTGATAGACTACCTTACTACCCTTCTACACAGACTTTCTTCGTATATGTAAGGCATCATAAGAAGTTAATTTATACTTTTTAAGTACGTTATAACTCGCCTATAAAAGAAGTTCTTTTTTTTTTTTAAAGTTTTTTTAAATATTTTTTTTATTTCAAAGACTCTCTTGCTCCTTGCAACTTTTTCAAGGTCGTAAGCATCACACTTTGTTGTCACGCGTGACCCTCTCGCCAAGTGTATCGTGTCTGGCTCGTGCTGACTTGTACTTGTAATGTCACATCCGATTTGATCAGTTGCTGACACAGACAAGGGAGCACAGGTTACCTGAGTCGAGGGAGAGGGCTTTGAAAAGGGGGGGGGGGGGGGGGAGAAAAGGTGATTTTAAAAATAAAATTAAAAAAAACCACCCTCTTCGTCGATTCCAATAATCATCGGTCGTAACCGTAGGATGGAGTGTGGAGAAAGGGGATTTGGATCAACTGACGACTAGAGACCAGGGGTACAAAAATATTTTTTTAAAAGTCGTTACATTCTGCTCTTTACATTTATTTTTATGCCCAGGCAAGTCCCTTTAACCAGGATTTTGTAAGCAAGTCACTTAACCAGAATTTTGTAAGCAAGTCACTTTTATAAAATAGAAAATACAAAATCTCTTTGCGATAATTTACAAGATTAAAATCTGCGTCTAGAATGGTGGTGGTAGGCTAAATTTAACGTTAGCTGGACGCGATGGTTACATCTATCACCCTAGTACCGGTATTCTTTCGCTCTCTCGTTCATTCGACTTAAGTTATTGCACCCCCCAAATTGGAATCAGTTTAAAGTCAATATAAAAAAAGCATCACAGAGTCGAATATTATCAAATTAACTTTGAAAGATTTTAGGCCCAGGGAGGGCAGCGTATAAGCAATAATGGAAGTAGTTGAAGTCAGGCTTATAAAGAGACTTGAAGTCAAGTACTTTCCAGATTTACATTGCCTGCACATAGACCCACCCACCTGTGGGTTACTTCTCTCACTTTTGTTTTTCAGCTATTCATCCATCCACCACTGCGGCCACAGCTCATGTAAGGCTTGGCCCCTGCCTCACCGCATCCATCCACCACTGCGGCCACAGCTCATGTAAGGCTTGGCCCCTGCCTCACCGCATCCATCCACCACTGTGGACACAGCTCATGTAAGGCTTTGGCCTGCCTCACCACATCCATCCACCACTGGCCGGTGTCGAGTACATCGGCTTGGCCCCTGCCTCACCGCATCCATCCACCGCTGTGGCCACAGCTCATGTAAGGCTTTGGCCTGCCTCACCACATCCATCCACCACTGCGGCCACAGCTCATGTAAGGCTTGGGCCCTGCCTCACCGCATCCATCCACCACTGTGGCCACAGCTCATGTAAGGCTTGGCCCCTGCCTCACCGCATCCATCCACCACTGTGGCCACAGCTCATGTAAGGCTTGGCCCCTGCCTCACCGCATCCATCCACCACTGCGGCCACAGCTCATGTAAGGCTTTGCCCTGCCTCACCGCATCCATCCACCACTGCGGCCACAGCTCATGTAAGGCTTTGGACTGCCTCACCGCAACCTTCCACTTCCACTGATGCTTTTCTTTTCCATTTCCATGCTTGGACTCCCAGCTGCTGTAGATCTTTTTCCACATCATCCATCCATCTTAAGCCCAGGTCTGCTTTTGAGCCATTTTCCTCTGGGGGTTTTAGTGATGTACCCACTTCACTCCTCCGTCATTAAGGCATTCTTTCTAAGTGTCCTGCCTGGCTTAGCCTACTTTTCACTAACAATGCTAAGTCATCAGCATGTGTAAGATAAAAAAAAAAGAGGTTGACTGCAGACAGTACCCATTGGGTGTGAGTCGCCCTCAGAAAGTATCCTGTAATTGTTTCTCGGATGTCAATATGTATGCTTCTTATAACTCACCTATACATGTTGATCTATTTTATGTCTATCACTATCTTTCAAGCCAGATCTGAACATTTGGGGGGATAATTAAAATGTTTAAAATAGCAATGTCAATCCAAATACTAATCACCAAATAGGATTCTCTAATCAAGAAAATAATAACAACCACATAGATATTTTATGCATGTTACATTTAATATGTTATAGAACAGTAAACATCATTAGAACAAAGTTTGGGATGATCGCTAACACAATGAGAGAATACAGTCATGAACACATCTATAAATTTACTCAGCTCACAATTATTTTACATGTGACATACAGAGATGCCCTATCAGACTACATACATTTACATATGAGAACAACTTCACCAATATGCAGGCACATTCACACAATACTACCCCCCCCCCTCCCCCAAACTTTTTAAACCTCCACCCAATGACTCAGCCATTCTCAAACTATGATCAAAGTAAACCTGTTATGACTCACAAAATAAACTAATTTGTGAAGAGTTGGTTTTTTTCTCTCCCAAATCAGTTCATCACCTATATGTTTCACATAGCTAACATAGCCAAGCTTGTAGCCTATCCCGTGACATTATCCTCATCCTACTGTCATAGACAAAAGTTGGTCACAGCAAATGCTCTACATATATCCCATTCAATGAGTGTCCTCCATTCTAATATTTTAAACCCAAGTGTACACATTATGTACACCATATGAAACCGACATCTTACTAAAATATTAAAATTAATTTGTTTGTAACAACTTTTTAACAAAGTGGACACTGTTTGAAAAACCTGTCTCTAGAAAGTATCTGGCCACTCTCCCCCACCAAAAAAAACCAACAAAATTTTGGCGACTGTTGGCATATCCAGTATGGGCAGTTACTCAAGCCTGCTTCTGTTTTTTGTTTTTTTCTCAACTGAAATAATTTATTATAAATGTCTTGTGTTCAAATTGTTTTATTTATGTGCTGAAAATGTACAATGCAATGATAAAACATTTCCATTTGTTTGGATGAATAAAAGAATCTTATCTTATCTTAATTAATTTCTGAGTAAAGGGAAGTGTTAACTTTTCAATAGCTGTACTCAAAAAGAAGTCAGTTTGTGAACTCTTGCATTACCTTGTTAAAAAAAAAAAAAAATTGACAACACACAAATCTGTAACATTTGAGAGAACAAAGAAAAGACACTCTGTCATGATAGAGTAACAACAGCAGATACATCTCACTAACGATAGGAAACCCTATGCTGTTATTTTTGTTTTCAACAGAACTGAACATCCCATCAGATGACCTTGCTATAATATACAACAATGATCATTTATTTGGATGAGCTCAACACCAGATCAACAGGGATCTACATGACACGACCAACAGTATCACATGATACAAATCACAAGTCACTGTCTCTACATATCATGAAATCATAAAAATCACATTAAGGTACTGACCCAAAATAAAATGTTAAAATAAACGGGGGAAGAAAGGGTTACCGGAAACATAAACATGAGACTGGCAGTAAAGAAATGGACAGCAGGAGAAACCATTGATAATTGTTTAGTACTTGACAACTTCATTCTATTACTAACAAAAATCATAGCATAAGATGATGTGATAGAAACTGACACAGTTGAACGTATTGAACTGTTGATGAAGATGATATGATCCAGGGGTTGCATTCAAAACATCCGCACGCTTACAAATCAATACTTTTTTTTTTTCTTTCACTTTAAAAGATGTTAATTTATGTAACACTTAGTAATCTACTGTAACTATCAGCCGTAACCAAATCATCTCATGTTAATTAACAGTGAATACTTGCTTTCCTATGAGAACCACACCAAAGTTGGGCCTAGAAAATGTAATCAAATTAAATGAGATTTAAAATTTCATTGATAAGCATTTATGTCTGAACCACACATCCATAACAAAAAAACCTAGTACAGTATTAAAATACTTCAGAATTTCAGACACTGGTTGAACAGATTTGATGAACAATTATATTTTATTACACCTTTGCCTAACCAAACTGCCTGTTACGACGTGGCTAGACAAATAAATTATTATTACATTTGCTAATAATAAGGATAAAATATCAGGAGAGGATAAAGTATTTATTCCTTGAAGACACACTAAACTGACAAATTGGTACTTATTTTATGACGCAACCACTTTTTTTTAGAGGGGAACAAATTTTAACATTGCTGCTAGTGCTTTGAAAAAAAAAAAAAAAAAAATCATGAATGACTCCACGTATCAAGGTCAACTTGCGCTCAGAGTCGTCCAGTAAAGTATTTATTCCTTTAAGAAACCCTAAACTGACAAATTGGTACTTATTTTAAGACGCAACCACTTTTTTTTAGAGGGGAACAAATTTTAACATTGCTGCTAGTGCTTTGAAAAAAAAAAAAAAAAAAATCATGAATGACTCCACGTATCAAGGTCAACTTGCGCTCAGAGTCGTCCAGATCCCTTAGACTTGCATTTTTGAAAACAAACCGTTTGAGTTGAGAGCAAACACCAATCACCCAAAGCTGAAGAGTTCCACACAGAGAGATGTCAAGATTAAAACCACTAGATTGTTTTGAGAGGCTTGAATCTCAAACCCTGAAAATGTATACATCATGAAATCAAGTGGAGGAACTGGTGAAATGAGTGGGGAGAAATGGATGTCTTTAAGAAGGGGCATGTATACAACAGCCCTATCACCACATTAGTAGTATAAGTACATTTCATTAAAAATCACATGTGGAAAGTGGCGATAAGGTCTGATGTTAACTTTTGGACTGATAACCTTTGGGTTAAACAGTAGTCTGCTTAACCCTGTGCAGTACAGATTATTTCACAGATTGTACAAAGAAAAAAAAAAAGTATGATACTTGAGTGTGTTGCTGTAATGGTTATAAATATAAACTAGTATCTCCTATTCACATCCTTTATCATATTTAACAGTGGACACTTAACCAAGCTACATCTCTTGTCATTCGGTTTATGTAAACGAGCACAACAGATGACAAACTCAAATAACTTGGAAATCATTATTTTTCTTAACTTTGATGAAACTCAAAGGCTTATTTACTTATTGCTAACAAGAACACACCTAGCTGTAATCATTCTCATAGTTTAGATAACAACCATGATCAGGTAATAGAGAATGAAATGCCTAAGACATTTGCCGATAGGACTGATTTTAAACACTAACCTTTTAATGATTTGCACCACATCCTCATCACACAGTATATGTTCTTTACCCACGCGTTGGGGGCAATGCTTCACAGAAGAGCCCCAGACTAATGCACTGTTGGGTAGAGAAAACAAATTTTATTTTTCAAATCTTTAAAATGTAAATATCTTTCATGATGAGGTTATTTGTGATCACAATTTTTTTGGTGTAAAATTGTAGTTAAAAAGTCTTGAAAAAAAAAAAAGGCTGATAGTCAATTTATTTCTCCCAGCCTGTGGGGATGAAGAAATATATGATTTAGCCAACCTATAACTATAACCAAATGTTCACAACACTACCACTTGACTCAGCAACTGTAAATACAAATCAAGGGGAAATAAGTCAACAAATGAATATTTGTACTGTTTAATCATCTCAGAGGTACCAAAAGCCAACTACCCTCATATATTGTTACATTGGAGTCCTGAAATTACCGAGGTTGAGAAAAATACACATCTTTTCATACCAATTAAGTTCTTGAACTTACACAAATTTAACTTGGCCCATACTCAATTTTTGTTTAAACTAATAGTTTTTAACTTTGCACCTTCTCCATGTAACAATTGTGGAAAAAAGTTTACACTGACCTTTGCTTTGCAATTCAAGTGAACACAGAAAAATAATTAGTCAAGTTAATGTTGGTCAGGTTTTCAAATGTAAATGACTGTTCAGTACTAACACTACCCGTACTTACACTTACATGCTGGCTTTTGTTCTAATTATAAATAAAAATGCTTAAGCAAAGAAGAGCTATGGTTGATAAAAAAAAAAATCTCTGAAACCCATGTGAACAGAGAAACGGCAGGGTTTCCTCGACTTGTTTTTTTTGTATGTGCACATGCAAGTCTAAATAAGCCAAGAAAGAAGCTGCTTACATTTTGAATTCCTTGATGATACTCCTGTGCAACTTGTTACAGAAATCCTCCACTGAGCTCCTGCCTGCTTTCAGCACCACAGGGGAAGAGTAGTCAGGTAGTTGACCCTTTGGTTTCGTATAACTGTTAAAGGAGATTTGGAAAAAACATGAATACAATTATGAAACATCAACTGTTTTTTTTTTTAAACCATATATAGAATAGCACATGTACACCATACTAAATAAATTTATACTTGTAAAATGCACACATGATTGTGGCACCTGCAGCCATTTTTTCCATAGGCAACCCATTTTCTAACTATAAGGCAACTTTCCTGCTGCATTCCAACTTCAGTGGTATTGAGGTTTATAACCCAAATATGCCTAGTGGTACATAATTGAAGAGGTAGACGTGTGAGTTATTTATTTCCTACTGCTCACTGCCATTTCTGCGGTCTGATTTTTCACACACTTCTTCTCGGGTGTCAATATTATACACATTTAATTTACATTTTTGAAGCACCATCCCGATATAAATAGATAAAATTTACTGTCCTACATCCTATACTGTACTTTTTTAAAATATAACTTAATTACTAGTTACTTACTGTAAAATTTAAATATCAAAGTTGCTATTGTTATATAAAAAATTTATATATAAACAATTTTGGGTTTGAAATGTTGGATCTTTTATTTTTAGAACACGAGGAAAAATCTCTTAGCAGTAGGACTAATAGCATTTACTAGAGTTGAAAATCTTTTGAACCTCTCAAGATGCCTCGAATTCTAATGTTACATAAAATATATGTACCGTTAGAGCTACATGACACCATTGAAACAAGTGCTTGAGTACTACAACCATCTTAAAATGCTGCAGCCCTTCTTTCTGACCCAGTGATTTCTCACATGCATGATGAAGTTCCCCCTACCTCAAATGCACAGCAACCGACAAAAACAAAGAGAAAGAAAGTGAAAAAAATGTTTCCCCCAATGACAAAAGGGTGACTTAACAGGCCATTCCGCAGCAGAACCACCAAACTATTTCATTTCATGACTGAAACATGAAGTACTTTGTTTTTCAAATGGTTCCCAGAAGATGTGTGTTATGAGGAAAAATAATTCCAGATGCACATTGTGCACTTGTTAGTGTTGGCATGAAACTTGATCACGTTGAAACTTTATTTTCTAATTTGCATGTTTCTGACAATGCCTAATGAGGCAGAATATTGTGAATTTTACCCAGCTGCGACATCTTGTTAAAAAAAACACAACGAGAAATGCATACAATTTGTTCCACAAGAAAATTATATATATTTCAGCTTTGATAAATCCATGGTTTCTATCGTTTTATCATCACAGGTGCAAACAATATATTCGGGGAAGGTTTGGTAATAAGGTTTTGTGTGGTGCAACACGACATGGCTACATTTCCTTGTTATAGCCATTTCAGGATAAAATCAATATAATAAACATGACTAATATAGTGTTAGTGCATTAAAGTCCCTTCAGTGGAGTGAGGCACATTCAAGGAATACAACCCCTTTAGTATTTGATAACTTTTTCACCATTTGTGCACTTCTTGATAAGCTTAGTTTATTTAATGGGACATAAGGAACAGGGTATCATGAAAAATGCAGTACCGGTAGTTTATTTGCCTAGTGTTCCATAACTCCACAATGGGTCTCATTTTGTGAATTTTTCAGATAGCCAGGGATGGAATCGGGTGAAAATCAAACTTCAAACCTCTTGGTCAGGATGCAGGCAATAATACCATTCAAAATGGGGTCAATGTAATAACTAAGCTCCTCAGGTCATAATGAAAAATCGTTACCTCTCTTGAAACAGGTTGTACTGAAAGGTTAAGTACTTTGTTTCTTAATCAATTTTACTGTAGGATCCTGACAAACTTACATTCGAACAAGCTCGAGGTAGTCCCACATCTTTTCTAACAAGTCGTCAAAGTTCCATTTATGATGAGCTGAGATGGGAACAGTGTGAGGAATTTTATAAATTATGTCCAGCTCCTGTGAAGAATAAAAAAAATAAATGCTTGAAATCACCAGGTTTTGTAAAAACTTAAAATGCACATATAAAAAATGCATTTACTAATTGCTTCAGGGGGCATTCTGAATTCTAATGAAACTGAACTTTACCACAAGCTCACCTCTATAGAAATCTGATCAATTTTATTTAGCAGGTAGATGCAAGGAATGTAGACCCTGTTTCCTTCTATGACATCAATAAGATCTTCTGTTGTTGCGTCGTACCTCAGGGTGATGTCAGCATTGTGGATTTTGTATTCATTGAGAATGGTTTTAACAAGGTCATTGTCTAATTCACTTTGCTGCACCTGTCATAGTGATGAAATTGTACTGACAATATAAAATATCCTAAATGGAAACAAACCCAACCAAATAAAAAATTAAAAATAATGTGTCCTGTGTGCATTAAAAATAATTCAATTACAAAACAAGGCAATCAATGGTTTATTAAAAACTGTAAGTTTCAAGAAAATTTAAATGAGTGAAAAGCACCTTGATCTTAAAGAAATGTTGCATTTCGTCGTTTCATATGTGATAGCCACCACTTCTACCCACAAATTACAAAAAATCTTTTATTTTTTTCCCCATCCAAATTGTTAAAACAACTGTTTAACATTCCCAAAAACTCCTCCTAATTAAAAATGATGCTTTAAATTGAGCAGTAAATTTGGAGTTCTACTTACTAATGAGGTCAAGTTCAATCCACCCTTGTCTTTCTTCTTAAACTGTATATTAGGCGGCTCTTTATTCAATCGAATTCCAAACCCCTCCAACTCTCGTTCAATAATTCGCTTATGTTGCAATGGTTTCAATACATCCAAAACAATAAAAATGAGACTGCAGGTTCTTGCAACTAAAAAAATTTTGCAAAATAGCATTTAACATCAATCCAAAGGAACTTAACTATAAAAAACAAATTTGATTGAATAAAAGATGTAAAGCAGAAAATGCTTAAGGTTTTTTGAAAAAGCAGAAATAAAAATGTGGATGTTACCAGCATGTTAAAAATAATTCTGTGATTGAAAATATATTCCTCACATGACTGCAAGAGCTTCAAAATTAAATATAATGTTGCCAGGGAATGGACAATGTAATTATTGTTACTCACTAAAAGCATTCAGCTTTTGATTAGAAATCCAAATATTCATAGCTTTCCTAAACACATTAAGTTTTTTTCCCAGAAAACAGATTTATTAAAATTGAGAATGTGTGAACATAGCCAATGCAATAATTAATATTTAATTCTTACCAGCTATTACTTGCTTGCCTCTACCTTTGCCATCTTTGGCACCTTCAATGATACCAGGCAGATCAAGCAGCTGTTTTAAATAAAAAAAACTGGTGTTACACAGCTGTTACTAAGAATAAACAAATTAATCATTACCATATAGGCAACTATTAAAATCATAACACACAAAGTGTACTAATCAATATCTTTATACAATATTTGTTAGTTAAATGCCTTCCGTTAGGTGGCCTTAACAACAAATTATCAGCTCACAATAAACAGGATAACTTACTTGAATTTTTGCACCCTTGTAACGAATAACTCCCGGTACAGTGGTAAGTGTGGTAAATTCATAAGCTGCAACTTCTGAGTAAACCCCGGCAAGATTACTTAGCAAAGTTGATTTTCCCACAGATGGAAACCCTAAAAATATAATGTACTTTTCCTTTTACTTTTAAAATAATTTAGGAAATTTCATAAATGAAAATCTATCAACTCTAACTAAGTACTTTTGTTGTAGCTTTGGTAATCTTACAACTATTTTATTTTTCTTAAATGCTCACCAACAAAACCAATTCTAGCATCACCAGTCTTGGCAACATCAAAACCTTCACCTGCACCTCCACCCCCACCTTTTGGTTCAATGAGCTCTCTTCGCAACTTAGCTAACTTTGCTTTCAAGAGACCAAGATGGCCACTAGTTGCCTTATTTTTCTGAGTTCTAGCCATCTGAAAATAATTAAAGGAAATGAATTTGAATTACAAATTGAATACGATACAGTTCATTTAAAATTGACATTTTACGAAGTGATTTTTAAAATTCAATAAGTTATTGGTTTAATTTCTGTGCATCATACCCATGGGCTAATACAAAACCCAAAAAATAATTAACAATTCACAGATACATTGATGTGATACAAAATTTTAAAAGGTAATTTTTCCTTTTAAATTAATTAAAATCCTTCTACTAACATGGCTACTTTAATTCAGTGTTTTGAAATCTCATGTAATGATGGCTACAGTTTCTTTTTTTTTTGCTGGCATCTGTCCGTCACAATGTGACGATGGAGTGGGCTTCGGAGGACTGGGATTATTCTTCAAGGATTATAAGCTTGTTCCCAACAGCAAATCGCGTCTCTCCACGCCGCTAGAGAAACCAAGGGAACATCATTGGATGATGCAGCTTGGCACCAGTGACGTCGCAGGAGTTGTCGAAATGTTTCATTGTACCAATGTTATCCGCCTTTCGGGACTCCATCCCCGGGTTTGATTTCAGAGTTGCCTTCTTTTAGATGAGTTGCCATCCAAGGTTAACGAGTCCCATCCACCCGGGGTGCTGGTGGTGTTTTTGCTTGACTGAGCTCTGGAATTGAACTCGAGACCACCAACTTGAGATTTGCTCAGTTTAGACCACTTGGTCACCCAGCACCCTGTTACTTTTTTTTTTTTTTTCTTTTTTTTAAAGACTCCAATTAATCAAACGCCATATACCTGGTGCCAAGAATATTATCAGAAATGTTTTACATGAAAATTTAATAAGTAGATTTATGTTAATCCTATTTGGAATGCATCCCATGGAGCACATAGTCTTAAACTACAGAAGTAGCATGCTATTTTAAGGGTTGTATATAATAAAAATAGATCTACAAATATCCTGCAAATAAGTCAATAGCCTTAGCTTTACCATTTCCCTATGAACTAAATTTCAGTAATTGCCCAATCATGCATTACTAAAGTCAGACTATAGTATTAAGTACCACTACAGACTACAGGTTTTTGTGAACGAAGAACTTAGACTACTAACTTAGTCTTAGTTAGGTCTACACATTTAGTATCTTTCATTTGAGACATTTGATACCAAATTTTGTCTTACAAACCCAACAACAATGTTTTAAATATTTTTTTTAACGAAGTGTCTACACGTCCGGCGCGCCAGACAAATAGTGCGCAAGATATACGTCCGGCTGCATGTCACGTGACCGCCGGACGGCTAGTAGTTTTTATTGTTTCCGAAGAAAAATGTCTGGTAGATCTTGTGTGGTCTACTGGTAGAGTGGTCGCTTGATGATATTACGATTTGAGGATCAATATCGGGGCTAGGATTGTGTTTGTTTCTTCCCATTTTAATTAAAAATATTTTATACTATATTTATATTATCATGTTCATCAGCAACAGTAGTTTCATGAGAAGTTTTTAAATATTTTGTAGCAATTTAAACAATTTAAAATGAAATCTTTTAATTTTATTGGTTGCCTACTCCACACTGGCCCCGAATTTATTTTATGATTACTGGTACACAAACTCAAATAACAAACTAAACAAAAATGTTTACAAGCCACTTTCACTTAAGTTTTTTTCTATTATTTGCATTCAAGATACTCAGTACATTACTTGGTAGAGAAATAGATTTTAAAATTAATAATAGTTTTGAATCATTCGCAGTCAACGTGACAAGGCTAACCGACAAATCTCTCGCCACTTTGTTACGGCGGTCATGTGACTTGGTCGCCTGACAAATAGTGCGGGAGATATACGTCCTGCGCGCCGGACGTGTAGACACTGCCTTTTTTTAATCCCAACCTCTCACTCTCACTTCAGATACCCGGGTCCGAATATCCACTTTGTAGAGTTAAAGGCTATACTATATACTTATTTTAAAAGTAATAAGCCTAATTTTATTTCTACAACTTAATAACTTAAGAAATTAATTAAGTGAAAGTGTAACTAAGTGAAAAATCTATAGGCCTGGGTCTAGGTCCTGCAGTTTAGTCTTAAGTTTAGAAACAGTATTATATATTTTCAATTTAATTATAAAATAAAATGTCATTGATCATAATCCTTATAGTAGTAGTGAGAAGGGTATACCACTAAGAAGTAAGAAGGCAGTGAGTAGCCTGGGTTGTGTAAGTGTAGGCTTGAATTTGAACAATACCTGAAAAATTGAAAATACTAAACATTAACTATTAACCGTTATCAAATTAGTCAAATTCAATTAATGAATAAATCAAGCAAGACTCAATCATTGAATTGATTGTTTGAGTTGGGCCGATTGGTAGTAATTAACCATACAGTCCGGACACTATCCAACTATCATTACTTTTTATAAATATATTTTGCAATCTGAATTTCTCACAAATTTAGATATTACATTCAATACTAACCTCGGCTTCAATATCGGCAATTTTTTGTAAGATCGACATGTTGCTTTATTTCTACTTTCAGTCTTGCATCAAAAACCGGAAATGAGAAAAATAACTTAACCAGATTTCTCCAGATCTGTTAATAAGAATATAAATATATTAAGCAGGATTTATGCATAATAGGATCTATTTACCTATATTTATTTTAATTCGTTCATTTTTAAAAACAGATATACTGCAATAAGCCATAATTATTTTTTAAAATTTATGTTAAATAATTTAAATTATGGTGTAGTTTGACTGTATCGTCTTGGTAGTCTATATGTATGTTTTACATTTATGTCATATTATTAACAAGGTTTTACATAATCAATATACTTCAGTTTTAATTTTTTAACATTTTGATGTAAAAAATAAATTAACGGTTTTTAATTTGGTATAAGTGGCTCTAGAACGTTCTAAAACTAAATCAATTTCTCATGTTACTTAATTTCCTTTAAAACGTTTATAAATCAAGTTTAATTACTATGTACTCCTATTTGCCAATTTATTGGCTAATAAATAGATCGAAATTGATATTTGTTTTGATTTATTTGTTTTAAATTAAGTTCAATTGCATGATTAAGGATTGAGTCAGCAAATAAAACTATTTCAAAAACAATGTCAAGACTCATTAATCAAAATTAATTATGTTTGGAATTACTCATGAAAATGAATTACTGTGACTTTTTCCGGACGTTATTTTTTTTTTTCAATTATATCAATAATCAACTTCACGTTAAAAAATTTACAACAAACATATAAATATAATGTCAACTGGTTGCCGCAATTAAAAAATAGTAACTTGCCCCACGTGACCAAACATGGAAAAGATAACCCGGAAGCATTAATGAATCACTGTTGAAATTTCAGCAAATATCAAGTTTTTCTTTTTTCTCTCCTCAATAGATATTGAAATTTATCTTTTTGCATATCCATACAAAATATTCATCATATTTAGGTGCACATAACATATTTTTTGCATTTGTATCACCGCACGGGAAAAGATCACCGTGACCCCAACCGTGCGCATGCGTATCATGCTTGTTCTCATGGATGTTGTTCAGCAGTTGTCCGAATTACACTGTCTTTAGCGTTTTGTTATTCATGTCTATTTTCTAAAACTAACGTGTGGCTTCTTTCTGTAGTAATTTGTAAATACATGCAATTATTTTTTCCTTAAATTTTCATCATCTGGCAATTTTATATTTCGTTTAACTTGTGGCAAACATAGATCAAACTACAAAAACAGGTAAACACAATTTTAAAAAAACAAATTAAAATACTGTGCCAAGATAACGAAGGCTAGGTTATTTTTAAGTTATTTGTTGATGGCCGTCTTACATCTAAATACGAATGAAAATTATTATTATAAATGTGCGTATGAAATTTTGTAATATATTATTAAGTTTATTTCAGTAAGGCTTAACTGTCTAATTTTGGTTTTTCAAATATTATAAGTAATAGGCCCAGGGACTAAATAATACTAGGCCCTACCTATAGTATAGAATTATAGACTATAGATAGTTTATATTAATTATTAATGTTTGGGCTATCCCCTGCCTATAATTTAAAAAGGACATTATTAAGTAATTAAGCCATACTACCCTAACTATGAGTATGGGACTAAGCTTTGAAAGTTTAATTTATTTTAATCTTGTTAGTCTATGCCCTATCTTCTATTTCTATGTCAGATCCATTATTTATTTTAAAATTGTGGAAAGCCTAGCTTATAGTCATAGTCTATACTATTATTAAAATCAGTTATTACAAAAAAGGGTACAAGTCAGCAGATGACCTTATCAAATGACCAGTTTTGTGGTAGCTTTACTCTGTCATTACACATTTCACATCTATTTCATTAAGGCTTATTTGCCTTAGCCTTAATCCCTTAGCCTTACACTTGCTACTGAGTGACTTGTTACTGACTGTCTAGTGGATTAGCTTACTGACAAGAGCTACTGACTGACTTGTTGAATTTAAGAAATTAAGGCCTTTACTTTAGTGCCTTTACTTTAGTAATAAGGCCTAATTTACAATAAAGTTTAGACTAATTAATTGTGTTTAAATTAAAACTTAAGAGCCTAACTACAGCCTTCTGATTAAATGATTAAATAATTTGAATGGAAACATTAATTTTCTCAACCTACAAGTCGATGTCTGATTTCTAAAAATTGAAGTGTTTAGTCGAATTAAAATGATATTCATTTATTATTATATAATTGTGCAGTCATATTCATTTATAAAGAAAAAATATTTTATGTCACTAATATTATAATTATACTACATAAAAACAAACAGAAATCCTTTTTAGCAAGTGCCTTTAAATATAAATTATAAATGTAGTCTTATATAATTTAAATCATCTCGACTCTACTCTTACTGCTGTCTCACATGCAAAAGAAGCTTAAACTCTTGGTCTTTGTATATAAATTAGCTCCATAAGATTTACAATGGCTGTAAAGGCAGAATAAGAAGTGTTATTGTATAATGGCTTAAAAATTGAAATATATTATTTGATTTTAAACTTCTAAAATTGACTTCTATAGTAATCTGGTGGAGAGCTTGGCTGCTCACTAGCCATAAATGTGGATCATGGATTTCTAATCTCGATCAGTGTTTCCCTTTTTAAATTTCACTTCCAAATCTAAAACAGAAATCCACAAATCATTTCGTTCTTTACCGAAAATGTTGCTTTCAAAACTGCTATCTTAAGTGTATTACATTTTAAGTCAGCAATAATGCTGCATACAATATTGTATTATTTCTTAACATAACCAGTGCTGTTATAATTGAGATTATACCTAAGGAAACCAAGCTTTTCGCACCCGCAATGATATTAAATTCAAGCCACTGTCATGACAGCCGAGATTAGAAGAGCCTCTAGTCATTTGGTTAGATTTATTACCTAATATGCAGTGCTGCAGAAGAAGGCGCCAAGTAAAGTGTCTGACCATCAAAATGACTATTTAATTGTATTTTATAGGCCTACCAACATTTTCAAACATCTGTTAAACATGAAAGGCATAATTGATGCACCGGTATTTAAATGAAAAGGGCTTGGGGCTTTTGATAGTGATCAAGTTTTTTCTTTGCTGTTTCTTTTAATTTTAGCCTAGCATAATTAGTTCTTTAAAAGTAATGGTAATGGACAAATTCATCTTATGACTCTTAGTCATTTCTGTCATCAGTGTTATTACTATTATTACAAAACACAATTGAAATTATGATTATATTCAGTTGTAAAGATAGACTATTTTAATTTAAAGTGCAGGATAAAATTGTTGATTTTGTTAAGCTAATTAATTTGTCAGTGCCCGATAAGTTTTCAGTAAAATTGTTTAACCAAGATGTGCGTACAGCAACATGGAATTGGAAGAAAAGAGCACAATGATCATTTGAAGATTTGTCAAGGGCAGCTTCTGATAAATTAACCATAAATGTATAAATAGTTTTTATAATAACCCTTTTAAGGCATAAAAAGGTGCATAATGCATTAAAATTAAACATTGTACGTTGTATGAAAAATAAATAGTCTTACACTTTTTTAATTTAGAAATTTGTACATATAGTTTCGGGTCCGCTTTAAAAAAACGAATTAAAACTGACAGCAGGGTAACTGATTGGGATTCCACCCAAATATATTGTAGAAATATGTTCACCTCAAAACAAGAGCAGCTGATCCAGAATGTTCTATTGTTTCCTTTGGTGTATTGAATTTTAGGCTAAAATTATAATCAGTGCATTATATCTCAACTGATAAAGCTTACTTTGTTTATTGAAGTTACAAATTTTATTGTTTGTCCATCCTATTATTAAATGAAATGAAAACAATAAGTACAACATAAAGAGAGGTGTGGGAAAATAAAATATAATCATAGTGTTTTCCCAGAGTATTTGAATCATAATAAATTACTTTCTGAACAAATTTTAATCAGATTTGGAATTTTAAGACTAAATTAACAAATTGTATGTTTTGTCTCAACGCAGCTCCACACTTGGACATCCGTTTTTGAGATGTCTGAGAAAACTGAGGTGGACCAAGAATATGAAGAGAATGGGGATGAAAGTCCATCACCAAAAGAACTACCTGACCACCAGTATTCAAGGGTATTTTTATATCACTTATCAAAATTACATGACATAAATGAATTTTTGTGCCTGTATTGATAAAATTAACTTTTGATACACCTGATGACTACAAAATTGTAAGTAATTATAAAAAAACAACTTTGAAGCTGGTAAAGAAATGAACTCATTTTTTAAAAATTTGCATTCTTTTTGTAGGAGGAGCTTATCACTTTGTCCAAAAGTCCGGCAGCACGTCACCGTCCTAAGTGCCTAGAGAGAGCTTATGACTCGTAAGTTAGTTTATCTTATTATGGTTTTAAAAAATTTAGCATTTAGTTTCACAAGATGAACCGAAAAAATAAATATTATCCAAGTGTAGTTGAGATTTTTTATGTTTCTAGAATGCATTTGTACTTTTCTGTTATTAAGCAAAAAATATAAACAAATTGTATACATTATGTCTACTAACCCATTAACATGCAAATATTGCTGTAAAAACTGTTTTTAAAATAAAAGAAGAGAAATTTTTAGGTGACCTTATAAATATATATTAATTTTAACGCGAGAGAAATAATGTTGATTTGTATGAATGTTTTTTTAGAGAGGAAGGGAAGTGGGATCCTGACCGCTGGTACAAGGCTAAATTTGGCCAGTCCCGTGAAGCCTCACCCCTCACTCTAGTAGATGCTAAGGAACGCAGACGAATAACTGAACTGGACAGGGATATCAAGCGAAGGCCATCCCGTAAGGTTCACGTGTTGCTTCTTGACATTAAATAAATAATGTAATGTTGTTACATAATACAGCTTTTTAAATGTTTTTTTTTTTTCTTTATTCTATATTTAAAATGACTTAAAATCTCCACTTTCTATTGCAGTGAATGATCCAGTGGAAAGGCTCAAAGATGAGAGAGATGGGATTGTCCTTAGTCCTCAACGGCGTAGCTTTGGCACTGGATGTCATGTGCAAACTCAGATGTCATACACTCGTCAGATCAGTATGCCGGAAAGGGATAGGGAAGACCCAAAAGTCGAACGAGACAGAGAGCGTGACAGAGAAAGAGAGAGAGACAGGTTATTACTGGTCAACTCTTAAGTTACTTATGATAAAGCTATTTTAATCATTATATTTCAATAACATCTGCTAGTGATGTGATATAAATTACAAAATTAACTCAACACTCATATTTTCTCAGATTTCCAATTAATCTAATTTGAATTTAAGCTATTTACTTCCCTCTTATATACATCATGAAAGAGACCAGTTTAAATAATCTTAGTCATTATAAATAATTGTTAATGATTTGTATGGGGTTTTCATCAATAATGCTATTTCTACCAAGTATATCTGGAAATTAATTGCCACTTGTTGTGATGTCTACATCTTGTAATATCAGATGCAAAACCTCATACTTATCCTGTGCAGCAGAAAGACTTACTACAACTTTATATAATTGTTAGAATATTGACATCTGTTTATTATAACAGAGAGAGGGAGAGACCCGCAGTGCGGAGGATTGGTAGTGGGCGCATCCAGATTGACAGGGAGCAGAACACCAGGGACTTTGCTGGTTTACGTGACCGTTTCGATGAGAGAGATACCAGGGAAAGGGATGCCAGAGAACGAGACTTCAACTGGAACAGGGATAGAGACAGAGAAAGGGAACGAGAATGGGATAGGGATGTGAGAGATGTAAGAGAAAGGGACAGAGAAAGAGAGCCTAGGGAAGGTGACTGGGATCGAGATAAGGAAAGGAGATTTGATAGGTTCCGTAGAGTTGGCGAGAGAGAATTTCCTGAACGAGACAGGGTAGGTTATTAGTAACTAGATTTCATTTAAGTCTTCATATTCATATTATTGGTACTTTTAAGTTCCAGTCCCCATTGAACGGATTGTAAAAATCTTATGAAGATTTCTTAATGTTTATGGTGCTAAAGAAATATTTAAATAGTTGGAAGAATTTAATAACATTTTTTTATTATTTCCATTTCTAGAGAGATCGAGACTTTCGGGACAGGGGCTTTGACAGATCAGGTTAATGATCATAGTTGTTGGTGTCCATAATAGAAAGTGATAAGTGATGTGTGCTATTAAATAAATAATTATGTTCCAGTGTAACACCATATTATGTATGTCTATTTCTCTGTCTCTTTATTTTATATTTTGATAATCCCAAAATGTTTTTGCCATGCTATTTCCAGGAAGGCGAAGGAACTATAGAGAAGAGGAAAAAGAGCCAGAGTGGTTTACAGGTGGCCCTACCAGCCAGAATGATACTATTGAGTTGAGAGGCTTTGAGAGAGAGCCAGAAAATGACCACGATGATACTGGTTCCCATAGATCCGACTCTGTTATAAAACAAAACAACTCTAAAAAAAGAGAGACACCACAAGAGGAGAAGTCTGGCAAAGGTTTTCATTCATTTTCAGTTTGAAATCAATTTTTTTAAAAATTTAAATATAGTATCTACATTTGAAATTTTGAAGATTTATATCATTTAAATTTATTTAAAAGCATTTTAGTTTTTATATTTTAAATGGAAGATTTTTTATACTGCCTAGATTTCAAATAATTAACATTCTTTTTTAAGACATTATTATTTTTAGAAAATAAAGTCGTAAATAAAAAAAAAAAAAATTTACTTATGTATCGGTATTATGTTAATATAAATTATTGTATCATATCAAATAAAAATTAAAATGCCATTCTGTAATTTTAAGAATCTTCAGAAGAAGCCTCAGAGATTGATGTCAAAGTGTCACAGCGCAGTTCCCCCGAAGAAGACCAACAGCAGGCAAATACTCATGAGAAAAACTCACTAGACAACCGAGCTTTGACTCCTCAACAGCAAGTCCGAACTTCTCCAAGTGGTCACAAGTTTGATTTCGAACAGATCCTCAAAGCTGACTTACCCTTGGTAAATAAGGCTTTGATATAAATTGTGTTTTTTATTTTTTAACTATGCTTATCATATTGGTTAAAAGCTATAGGTAAAATAAAATAATTTTTTTTAACTTGTACATAGTCCCATCTTTCCCTAAATAAAGCAACAGGATTCCTTCAAGCCAGTATTTCTATGACTAATTTTTCACTGTTCAAAAGCACTGGTGTAAAAACAAATTTTATTAAATTAATTTTCAATGTTAGATAGTTTAATTAATAACATGTATTTGTAACTCTTTTGTTCCAGTTGTAAAAATATTTCTTCTGACCATGTTAGTTAGAAGTGACCACTTGTCCATGTCCCTTGATTAAAATGCACACCCTTTTTTAGGTTTTTTGAGGATTACATATTGAGGCTTTAGATGGTTTGCTGTTCATTAAAAAATTTTCAATTCTTTCAGGACGAAGACAGTGTGCCTCATGGGAGTAGATTTTCTCGTTTTTTTATAGGCGGTATGATGGGAAGTGATGGATCATCACTGGAAGACATGCTTGTACCACATGGTAATTTATTTGAGATTTTAAGGCATTTCCCCCTGTTTTGTTTTGAGATTAACCTTCCGGCAGGCATGCTTTTTTAAAAATGTGATCAAGCAGAGTGTATCAAATTGATATCGCTTATGAGTGCCTTGTTAAATAAGTTTATTTTATGTACTAATTTATGCCATTTACCCGTCTGGGGCATAGGCAGTCTACAAGAATTTAAATTTCATCTAGGTCCTGTGCTTTCCTTTCCAGTTGCTTCCAGGTGTATCCCGTACTTTGTGTGTCTGCATCTAGCTTCTTTTTTCATGTGGATTACATGTTAGGGATTGTCTGGTGATGTCATCTGGGGGATTTTGGAGAGTGTGCCCTTTCCATTTCCATCTTTTCCTTACATCTTCATCAATAGGCTCATGGTATGTCCTTTCCAGTAAGTCTTTGTTAGTGATGGTGTTTGGCCCTTTGATGTTCAGGATCTTTCTAGGGCAAGTGTTTAAGAAGGTCTGTATTTTCTGTATAATGCTCGCTTTTGTTCTCCAAATTTCAGCTACATCGAGTAGGACGGTTCTGACATTTGTGTTGAAGATTCAACTTCGGTTTGCAGTCAACTCATTTGACTCCCATATTTTCTTTAATAGCACAAATGCTGACTAAGCCTTTCCAATTCTAGGCCTGACATCTGCTTCGGATCCACCACTGTAGTCAATGGAGCTGCCTAAGTATGTGAAGGCCTTTGCTTCTTCCAGTGCATTTCCTGCCAGTGAGCTTTTCTCTTGGTTGGCTGTGTTTACCTTAACTGATCTTTGTCTTGTTTTTATTTATATTGAGTCCGAGCTGTGCTACATCTTTAGTCTTTTCCTGCATTTCTTGCTTGTTGTGGGGCAGAAGTGCAATGTCATCTGCAAAGTCTGGGTCGTTCAGTTGCTCCCAGGTTGTCATCTTTATCCTGTTCCTTTTTTTGTCTGGATTTTTTTATTATCCAGTCAAGGATGAATAGGAAGAGGGGCAAGAGACATCCTTGTCTGACTCATGTTTCCACTTTAAAGGCACCTGTGAGTCTACATTCGCGTACCACCCTGCATGTCTATTGCATTCATAGTGCTGCAGCAGAAACATGAGCATTATCAGCAAAGTTTGCCACCACCTGATTAATTCTACAGAGGAACTAAATAGACTAAAGCTATTGGTTCTTTTTAAGCATTCAAAACGTGCGTTTTGTTTTCTTTAGATTAAAAGAAATATGTGTATAAGCCTAATACTAGAAAATTAATTACATTGAAAGAATAAGGCTCTGGGCTGCTGTTGTTTTCTCCCATCTACCACATAATTTGTATTCTTCCTTTTATCAACTAATTTTATAATAATGCAATCAACTAGCCCCAGTTTAACCTTCAATAACAAAAGAACCATTTATACTGTTTAATTAGATATTGAACCTACAAGAACCTAATAATTAATTTACAGTTTATATTGTTCATACCGGTATCATGTTAAATTTATGCAATGAGTCCTAGTCCTATCCTGCTTCTCTTGATTATTTAATATGGTAGCTCCATGCATATCCTTTTCATTGGGTTCAGATGAAATTAAATTTACCTCCTTATCAGCAGCTTACTCAGTTGTTTTTTTCTTTCAGAAACTTACTGTATATTTGTTTACTGGCCTCAATTAAAACAATTTATGAATTCCATAATCCTGTGAATAAACTCATTTTTATCTAGTAACAGTTCACACAATTGGGGTTAGTTGGATAGAAGTCCAGTGAATGTTAGAAATTTTGTTCATCAACTGGAATTTAAGATGTGTTTGTGCCATTTTTGCAGGGCCTATAATTCCTGAAATATAAGGATCAGCGTATTAAAATCAAGTTGGCTTAATTGCCATCACATTGCAGCTGCAATATTTGTGTACATTTACAAAGAATCTCCATCCAACCTTATTGATGTAAATTGAAGTTGGAAAGGGATAATTGTGTGACATTACTAAGACAATATATTTCAGTATTGGAAAAGTTTTTTTGAGCAACAAAAGTATCCTGGTCCTATTCTACCTTACGCCAAACAAGATTTGAATAAGTTGCCATAAGCTATAAATGTTAATAAATGTCTGCTCTTTTGATTTGAGCAACAATTTTTACTAACAAGCTTCCACCATTGTTTACCATATAACATAAATCGAAGATACCGGAAGTAGATGGTGCCACTATTTGGTCATTGTTATCACAGCATAATCTCAGGTGGGTGGAGTTGGTGTCGGTTTATGAAATTGTCTACAGTAATTAAAACGTAAACCCCACATTGATACACCTAAAAATAACTTCTTAATCCTTGCAGATCTTCTTGAAGATAGCCGATCAAGTCCCACAGTGCCATCTCCTTCCTCCATGATTGGTCCAATGGGTGCCATGCATGCTTTTCTAGGACAAGCTCAGCACGGTATGCATCATTTCCACGACCAGCTGGCAGGGCACGACAAGGACCATTTAATTCCCTTGTCCCACCATCTGATGAACATACCAAACTCTGCTGGGGACAACAATGCAGCCATAGACAAGTTGGCACTGCCACCGTCAGTGACGGCCTTGTTTAACAGCGCTGCTATGGGAGGCTCCAATGCCTGTAAGTGGAAGCCCCGCCTAGATTGTAGTGTGGAAACTCTCGAATCTAGCTACTTCACCAATTCAGGTAGAGTGTATTTGTGCACTAACACCTTGTTTCCCCTGAGGCTAACAGTGCGGATCTCGCAGGGACTAACTTTCAGAATTTGCATGTTTGGTACTGGAATATAACCAATGGTGAATTTTGTTTTCTCCAACCTGGCTTTTTTCTTTTTTCTATTTTGAGAAAATGTGTCAGTAATCTGTTATTTTGTTCCTTTGCTTTAAACTTATCATAATTGTCCTAACAGTGAAAAGTGGAATCTGCTTTTGATATTTAACAGTATTAACAGAAAACTACGAGAAAGGTGTGGTTTGGGTAACCATTTATAAACTCTTCTCTGCTTTTCTTTTAAATGGTCCTATGTATTGTTATATTCTCTTTATCAATTTACTTGCTGCTAATGTTTGGTTTCATTTCTAAAATTGCCAGTAACAAGAAATCTCAAAGTTAATTTTTTATTAAAGATAAGTCATCAATTGAAATCTGTTTCGTTTTCTGGTTACGGACATTTTTTTTTCTACCTCTTTAGATATTTCCCTGAAGAATTTCATTTCTGGTATTTAATTACATGATTAATATTTAAAAAGTAGGTATTAAATGATAATTGCTTGTCAATAAAATAGTTCTTACTGAATTAAGTAATGACATCTAAACTCTGTGATCTCATTTCGTGCAGAAATACCTATGACATGGACCCAATGTTTCATCCTGTAGTGTTATCTTAACTTTTTTTTTTCTAAGAGGTATACATTAACTTGTGTAAACAAAATCTAGTTAACAAGTTTTCATGAGCTAACAAATAATCTTTTTCAAATTTAATTCTTTAAATTTAATTATTATTTTTAAATTAATTAGCAATCTAAGAGCTTAATGCTTCAGGCACTTCATAATTTTTGATGATGCTAACAATGTTGACAGCAATGACATTGGGTGTGAAGAGGACTAAAAAAAATGTACATTGTTGTAGCTGGATGGTAAATCTTAATTTGGTATGAAAAATCCTTCTTGCCAGCAATCTCCAGTAACAGCAGTTTCAGTACCCAAGATGCTGAGGCCCAGCTGAAAGCTATGCTGTTTGGTGGCCATAAGGAGTCTGCATCATCAAGCGGCACAGCTTCCCCAGCAAGTCTGCCTCCCAGTAAGCTATCAACTAACCATATAAGTTGCTACATTTGAGAGAAAAATTATAATAGCTTAATTTAATTGAGTTAGTTTATCCAAATTAAATTTACTTCTCGTGCAGTTTGAAAATTGTCTATTTTAAGTGCTTATTATGCACTTGCAATTCTTGCCTGGTTTATAAACCATGCCGTTGCGAAATTAAAGTATATTAAATTATTTTTATAATTCACTCTATATGCTCTATCATGCAATAAAACAGGTGTACAGCGCAAGGTAAAAACTGTTGCAGAGCTAGAGGCTGATATGCATCAGAACTCTCCACAAAAGGCTGGTAGTCCGGTCACAGTTTCTGTCATGGGCAACCTCAACCAAGCTGGTAGTGGTGACATGACTGCCTTCAACAAGCTTCTTATTTTGATAAATGCGGCATCTGAGGCTAATCAAAATGCAGTAAGAATTATATGTGTGCTTTTGTATGAAGGAAAGAAGTATATTTTTGCCAAGCACAGGCTAGTTAACTTACACATTGGCTATGGGGTAAATTTGGGCAAGATGGCCATTTATTTAAATTTACTGGCAATTTTTCGGATTCAAATGTAATGCACATTGTGATGTTGTTGATGGAAATGTATCTTTTGATAAATATTTTTAAAATAAAAAGCTGATACCATTATTTCATTGGTATTAACTTGATAATTTAAATTTGCTTGAAGATAACTTCAGAACCCCAATCGGTCCGTCCAGGATACGGTATGGTTCCTAGTCACAGTGAGTTCAACCATGTAAGTTGCATCTATCCCTTTTATATGGTCAGTTTCATATATTTTAAAATATATTTAATTTTTGAATTAAAAAAGTAGAGGTTAGTAATATAAATTTACTGATTTAGGATATGGTTAATTTGGAATATAAGGAGGGGGGTGGTGGGGTTATAGTGTTGTTCCTGCATTGTCTATTTCAAGCCTGTCAACCCCTTAATTACCACCACTTTTACTTTGCATATTTTCATCTACACATTTAGTGAATGAAGAACATGTCAATTTATGTAGATAGACTAGATCTGATTTAGTAAAGCCAGTGTTAGGACAGTGTTCTGTTTATAAAAAATATATTTTGACTAGTTTTTTGACGTTTTTTCTCTCTTAATTTTTTTCAGCAATGTTTTTCATTGATACTTAAAACATAAATATAAATACAAGAAAAGCTATATTTAAAACTAAAGTTTATCAACCAGCGAGCCTTCAGACATGAAAAAGATACAGAATAGATCTTAAAACATCACCCTTAAAAATTAAGCCCTTGGGAATTTAGATTCAACAATTTTTTTAAAAATGTGGTAATTAAGGGTTAATATCTCCAAAAGCTTAAAGAAAATAAAATCTCTCTTGTAAAATCAGGCCTTTGCTAACTTTTCAATACAGGCTGTTTTGAGGAACAAGGAAGAACAAATGCAACTTCTGCAGAGGTCTATACAAAATGCTCAGCAGATCCAACAGCCAATTGTTCCACCACAGTTTCCACCTCACCAACACCATCAGCAAGTCCCACCACCAATGCAGCCTCAACAACATGGCTTGCAGCAGATAACCTCACTTCAGCAAGGCCCACAGCCTATTGCCCCAAAACATCACGGCCCACAGTCTATGTCCCAACAACAGGGACCACCACCAATGACCCAACAGCAGGCTCATAATGCAGCACTACAGCAGCTGCAGCAACATCAACTGCAGATGCAACAGCAGCAAGCACTTCAACAAGCCAAGCATATGGGTATGTCAAGGAATGATCTTCATAATACTCTATAAAATGAACTTCGTAACCTAAAATAAGTTTTCCACTAACCAAAAAATATTATCAGACATCTGTGGGTGGATGGGACTGCAAAAGTTTTTACGACTTGTTTGTTACGCTATTTTTAGGATTAAATATATTTTGACTTCATTAATTTTTTTTTACTAAATGTTCAATATTTCTAAAATCATGTTATTGGTACATTTAATTAGGTCTATCTGCTTTATGGGTTTTTGTTTGTTTTGTTAATCAAAGCTGTGGCATAAAACTAAAATTTCTGTTTTCCCTTTTGTTAGTTTGACATTTCATGTTTAGACATGTATTTTTTTATTAATTTTTTTTTTTAAAGCAACTTCAGATCAAATCCAGGGGGAACATTTAAAGATTTAAGGAACAATGATGTTCTAATGGAATAATTTGTGATGAGAAGTCATAGAAATTTAGAATATCATTGTCTCTTAAGCTTTAGTGTTAATTGTCATGATTGGGTCATACTCACTACTAAGCAACAGCTAAATATTTGTCAGGTATGATCCACAAACCCTCCAGCACACCAGGCCTTCCACAGGCCATGTCCACACCTATATCAAGGGCACAGAGTGGTGGGCCAACCTGCTCGGCTGACCCCATTTTTAGCCTCATCCAGCAGAACCCAACTATTGTGATGAAGCCAGCATCTCCTGCACCTGTCATCGCTGCCCTGTTGGCATCACAGCAGTCTGCTGTACCCAACACAGCTCGGGTACCGTCCCCCATCAGTAAGTGGCTCATTCCTCTGATGTAAGTTTTTTTTAAATGTCTATTTATTATAAATTTATTATGTACTTTTGCAACTCTATTATTGAGTAGGAAGAGTTATTTCTCTTTTTAAAAAATGTCAAATTCTAAATGAATAAGGAATTTTACTGTTACACTGTAATTGTATGCATGTTTGATATCACATTAAAATAGCATTTTTATAAGTAAACTTCTTCATGTAGAAAATATAAGTTGAAAAAGAAACTACTAAAATTTCAAGTCTGCAAACGGGCAGATAATTTCAATTAACGTTTCTGGTAAATTATTTTCACTGTGGTCTGCTTGTAACCCATGATACCACTCTTTCGTTTTTCTGTTCTGATTAAAAAGATAGACTTAAGAATTAATCACTGCTGATTTTGTTTAGACTGCTCTATTATTACACTTTAAAAAATTTCTGCTCTTCAATAATTCAATTTATTTTATTTCAGTGTTTAGTCAACAGCCGCCACTTCACCTCAGTGCACCCTCTCCCATTCACCCCGGTCAGTTAAGTCCAAGATCTCTGACAGTAGCAGGCAGCAATTTGACTGTAAGCATTAGTTTCACGTCACTATTTATGTATACAGTAGTTGATCTCTTTGACTATGTTATTTTGAGAAAATAATGTATATTTGCATACTTTTAACAATATGGAGTTTAATTCTGTTATGTTTTCTAATCATCACATATATTTCCAAGCTTTTTAGTGTTATGATTTTCTTTAAATGTCTCCTTGCATATGTCAGTGTTCTTTTCAATGTCTCCCCTAAAATCTTCTGGGAGTCCTTGAAGTCTCCACCCCTCTATTTCTCTGAAATAAATAATTTTTTTGATAATCTTATTGTGAAATGATGTCCAGCCATATAATTATTTAATATATGTTAACCATGTAAGTTTTAGTTTGGAAAAATAACTCCCTCACTGCAATGTTTTTGCTTAACTCTTTGCAGTTCATGGTTTTTTTGTTCTCTTTTTTTTTTTTTTTTTTTTTTTTTTTTTTTTTTTTTTTTTTTTTTTTTTTTTTTTTTTTTTGGTCATCTCACGTAATGGGATACCATAAAAAGAGTAGCAAATTAATACTCATCATGTTATATATTTAATTGTTCAGAAATGAATGGAGATTCATCATACATTTATATATAAAAGGGAAATTTTGTTTGTTTGTTCCACAAAGGCTTTTACATGGATTGATGGATCTTGACCAAACTTGGCGCATATATCCATCATGACCCAGAAGGAACTCTTAAGGGGTTATAAACTTTTTATAACATTTCGTTTGGGGCCGGGGACACCAAATTCATTTTTTTCCTTTTATGAGCTATATAAATAAAACTAACAACAAATAATCCTACTAGAGTAGATGGATCTTGACCAAACTTAGAACACATACTCTTTACTATCCATAATCAAATACCCAAGGGTACTGAACTCTAAATATCCATCCGTCTAGGGCCGGGGCCCCATTTCATTTTTTCTTATATTAGCTATATAAAAATTAATAGGCTTAATACCCCTACATGAATGGATGGATTTTGACCAAACGTAATACACATACACATAATCATCCATATTCAAATACCGAAGGGTACTGAACTCATATCCATTTCTCTGGGGCCGGGGGCCCCATTTCATTTTTCCTAATTTAAGCTATATAAATATCAATAGGCTTAGACAACACTATAGTTTCTATGTGAATTGATGGATTTTGATGGATATATGCCTAGCTTGGTAGCAATACCCTTCATTGTCCGTATTGAAATATCGGTGGATTGAAAAACTAAGAATATCCAATCTAGAATTTTCCAGAAAGTTCGATATTTTTAAAAAGATATATCTATGGCATTTTTAAGTAGATTTTAATGGGACCAATTTTAAATTTTAACTCTATTATTTATCCGTCTGATATTTGTAGGGACCCTGTCTCAGGCATAAGTAAATCAGTACAGTTATGGAATGGGCTTCCCGGGGCCCCTTGATTAATTTAAAAGAAAGGGATTATAATTAAGGCATTTGTTGAAGATTTTTATTGTATTAAAAAAATAATTAGAAATGTAGTTTTTACACGTTTCGAGCCGTTTATTAAATTTAATCTAGAATATTCCAGAAAGTTCTAAATTGTTTCAAGGAGATATATAGTGGGATCTAAGGGAATATTGAAATGTTTGTTAGTTCTATTCATTTCTATACTGCCCCGGAGTTTACTGTTCTCTCAGTATCATTAAATAATTTTTTGATAGGGGATCCCAAATGGTTTGGGATCCCATCATAATCTTTATCTCAATGGGATCAGGATCTCACCGGGATCAGGATCTCACCGGGATCGGGATCCTAACCTTGAGTGGATCCACCGGGATCGGGATCACACGCGGGGTATATAGGATAGTATTTTATAAACTGTGCTTGAAAATGATAGTGTGTTTTCTTACAATTATTATTGAAGTGAGAAAAGGATTTTACATTTTAACATCAATTTTAACACAAACAACACACTGTAAGAAGGAAAAATAACAACCTATAGAAAAAATTGTTTAAAATTTGTTTTTTAATTTTGCAATAATTTTTCAAAAATCAAAAAAAAAGAATTTTACAAATAAAACTGTTGTTTTTTTTAGAATTTCTTTGTGAAACATTCGTAAATAGTGTTTTTGCGCTAAATTTTGAAAAGTGATCTTGTTAGGTAAAATTATTCAAATACAAAGTTTCAAACCTTTTTTTTTTATATTTGAAAGTATATATTTAATACAAATACATAAAAAATATATTTATTTTTTTAATTTTTGAAATTTTAATAGATAATAAATGAATAGAAAAATAATAATAATAAAGCTAGAGCTTACATGACTAAATCAGGCCTAAACAAATACAGAACACAAACAGTCTTTGAGGCTTAGGTGATGTTCTAAAAATCAACAATTATTTCATTTAGATAGACATTTTATCACATTTCAAAAATTCAATTACCATTACAGTCTGATGCTATTTCTTTTCGACACAGTAACTCTGCATGATGGAATTAGGCTCATGTCCATAAGTAAAGAAAAACAAATAAAGTGTTCTGTAGGTGTTATTTTCTTCCAGTGTAGAGGTACTTCCTTTTCTTCTCATGTGGTAGGCATAAGCACACTAATTTTCAGCATGATATTCTGACAGAAAACGAGTGACGAAATTTCCTGGGGACGATAATTAGTATATTTGTAAATTGCAGGTTAGCATAACATAAAATCAGGATTTTATTGATATAACACAAATGTAACAATATTATAATAGTTGTAATAATATAAATTATTATATAATAAGAAAATAATTTATTGTATTAACTGGTTAACTACCATGAGCCGCTGGTAGCGCCAATGTTATTATCGTAGTAAATCGAGTCAAATATTTATATTATTCCGTTCCTGTTTCGCCTCGAGAATTTAATCTACCGACCGGATGTTTATATTCGAAACGCATGCTATCGGCAGAATGTTTTAAAAAACGAAATGTTAATTAGTTTTGATTTTATTTCTTAGCTAGTTACAAAATAGTACATGCTTTTCGTGGCAACAACTGGCATGGTTACTAAAGTCATATAAGTGATTGGAAGTGTAAATATCATTTAATTTCTGTGTTCTTTGGTGCATTTTTCTTATTATTGGATATACTATTTGGAAACCAACAAATAGGAGGCTTTAAATTATTTGGAAATTTAAAATTTGTAAGTTGGCACATTTAAATTTTTTTGGGTGTTTTTCTGTGGTAAATACTAATGTAACAATTAATAATTTCCTAACCAAACTTAACTTTACAAATGTTTTAATTTTATCTTATAGACAATTCAATTACCTACTAAATGGTTAATTAATTATTGGAATTTGTTTATAATTAAAAAAACTACAGTTGAATTTGTACATGCACCTAAAATGAGAAAATTTGATCTAGATTTAATTCGGCCACAGCGATTTTTTTAATCTGGTAGTTAATCAGTTAAAATAAAGTGATATTTTTTTAAAGATAATTATCAAGCATCAGGCATGAAATCCTAGGTTTAGATCTACACTTATAGCCTATTCATTTGTACTGCAATGATAAGATCAAATATGCCTTACCTGCAGTCTTTAGTTTTTGCACCTCATATCTTGTTGTCTGCTTTTCACGATCCATAATATTGAGACCAGGTTTTCTTTTAAGGATAAATTTAGTATGGCTTGAGGTAGTCCCTGGTCAACATCTTCAAGTTTTTTTTTCCAAGTCCGCGTCAATCGCAATGTATTATCTGCACTGAATAGAGAAGAAAAAAAATTTAAATAGAGGGCTATATGAAATAAACTGCATAATAACATATTTTAAAATGATCAATTAATATCTTCCATTATTTACTGTATTAGAGTTAGACAAAACACTAAAACAACAAACTACAACAATGAATACTAAAATCAGCTGTTTGATCAGCTGATTATGCAAACAAGCACTTTCATTTTTATTATTAAATCAAAAACACGATTGGAAAATAAAATTATAATTACAAAAGATTTAGTTAACACCTTCACCGCATTGAACAAAGTAAATGATACCCTGTCTCATCCCATTAATGTTACATTTGAAGGTAGTTCTGAAGTTCCGTCCCTGCTTTAATATCTCTGACAAATACACCAGCAGAAGTTTAATTGAAGAATATAATTGTACAGCTATTTCTCTTTTTAATCTATGCTTTCCCTATACGTGTATTACATATTTCCCAACCCACAGGCCAACATTGTCCTTGACCTTGTAATGCATTGGTTTTACTTGAACACATTTAGGTGAACCTCAGCTGTTTCCCATTTTTTATTTATCTACCCAGTCACCAAGTGGTATGAGATCACCAGTAATGCCACGCGTCCTGAGTCCCCAGGAGTTGTCATTCCATGCTCAGGCCGTCATGCAGAGCGCTCTGATTAAAAAACAACTTCATGATCAGAATGAACGTTACATGAAGAAACAACAGGAAAGGTACTTTAAAAAAAAAATATCCTTTGGGTTTTGCAACACCATCCTCCATAAAATTTAATTAATTTTTTGTTTGTTTTAGTTTACTCATAATAAAGCAAATTTAGTTACACATATGAGATTAGAACATATTTAAAAAGAATTTGTGTTTATGTTTATATTATTTTTTAGAAAATGTCCTTTACTGCTTATTTGAACCTTGCAAAAGCCTTCCCGATCAATGTTCGGTATCCATGTAGGGATGTAATTTTTATGCTACAAATGCCATATAAATTGGATAGTGCATTGTGTTTTACTTGGTTCTTATCCTCTAGAGCCAAGTCGCCCAATCAGCAATTTATTAACGTAGTAAAGCCACCGCCAGCAGCTCAGCATGTGCTACCACCAAATCCACAACCTAAGGTCAGTAGACATTGTCACTGTTTAAATTTTATCAAAGGAATTTTTACTGTAACAAAACAGGAGGAAATTACACCACATTTTTTTTGTTTGCATTTAATTTGCAGTCATCCAGTGTCTAACTCTGAAATAATTCGAGATTACAACTTTCCTAAGCCATTAAAACATTCAAGGAAATTTCTTGCCACAAGTTTTTAAGTGGAGGGATCAGGTCAAAATCTCATGCATTTAGTAAATATTAGATACTAATAGATCAAATACAGCTCTATTAAAAAAAAAAGGAAACAGACTTGAAATTTTGTTGTATGTATTTAGGTTAGTCTCATACCAAACTCAAATTAGTGGTTCTGATTTTAGTTAAGCTCATTATTATTAGTGATTAAAAGAATAGAGTTCATGAGTTTTTTTGTTTGTTGTCTAATGGAGAATTGGCTCACTTAAATGTTTAAGTTGGGAGGTTTGAAAGAATGGGGATCAAAGGGCAGATTCTCCATGTGACATACTAACAAAAAGACAATACACGTTGTCACTCCAGTGATATCAAAGTGGATGAAATTTCAGGGCACCACGGTGAACACCTTTACTCCGACATCTGTCCTCCGCAAGATGCACTCTGACAAGGCCATGGAAAAGGAGAAACAAGCCCAGGAAACAAAGACAGACCCTGAGACAGGTGGGTTTCTTTCATTTTATAATGCGTCTCGTTAAAACCTTTTGGACACCCTTTGTGATCAAAGAAAATATTTAAAGAGCATCGATTGATGCCTTCCAAATCCTCAATTTTCAAAAGTTTAATAAATAGTTGGTAACTTGATAACTGAATTATTTTTTTAAAGGTTTTTAAAATGCTTTTTACAAAAAAAGAAATATCCTTTTTTAAAATAAAAAAAGATCCTCATCTCTAACCTTTTGAAATTTATCATTAAAAGAAAATGCAGTTTATATTATAAACTAAACTTTACAGACAATTTTTTATAACGTCTGTCTCTGACTTAACTACTAACCAACGACCTGTCATAACAGCCTATGATCTGCCATTATGGCTGCTTCTGTGGTGTTATGACCAATATAATCAGCTTCTGCTAAAATGAATATTGTAACTGCGAATCAGATGTTTCACATTTTTTAAAGAATGATAACACTACCAAATAACTTCCTGATTATGGAAAACTGAAATAAATATTTTGTGATTTCTAAATTTTTAAAGATATTTTTTTTATTTTGATTTAAAAAATTGAAATTTTTTGGATGTTTTCTATGAAAACTAATTATATAAAGAAATATGTAGGTCACCAATTTATTATTTATCATTTTAAATTTCTATAAACCCAAATAACTTAATATTTTCTAAAATGAAAGAACATTAAGAGAGATGAACAAAATAGCACAATTGAAGACCTTAGTGCTAAAAGTACGTAAGTCACAAAATACCCATCTTGAGATAATCTGGTTTAAATATTCTTTTGTATATAAAATAGATATTTTTGGGGGCTTTTGTAAGGTAAATTTTAATGTATTCATATTGATGCATTACACTTGGTTAAATTGGATATGAAAATGCCAGTTTCATCTGAATTTGACAAAAAATTTCAAGGTCATATTCATTTTACATTAATTCATAGAATTTCAAAGATTCATACCGTATGGTTCCTTATCCAATTTACTCTCAGAATATCTATATTTTTATGTGTCTCAGGATTCTTTTTCTTTAGTTTTCTTCAGTGATACATATCAAAGTTACTAAAAAATAATTGACACCACAAACCTTTGCATTTGACATTTTATGAGTTTAAGTCAGAAGAGAACCAGTTTAACTGGCGTTCGGCCTGTCACATTTAACTCGAGCCAGTCTATATGGTGTTTCATTGTTTCTCTTAAAAAGTATTTCAGTAATTTGTCCAAACCAACAATTCTACATTGTCTTCTGGTGTTTACATTCTGTAAAAGCTTTTGGAAATTGCATTTTGTCACAATTTTTCGTAGTTATTTGAGTTTTTCAAACTGCTAAATTTTGTTTTAAAATAAATTATTTACCTGAAAAAAATGGCTTCTTCATCCAGTAGTAACCCTAAACAAAACTATCTGCCTGATAAGCTCCTTCAAACCTGGTCATTTTATGGGCAGAAACAAATGGAGTGAACTAATTATCGAGTGGGGATGAATTTAACAAAGGATACAGCCTAGTTCAGATTGAAAATGTTCATTGAGGAATGATCGAGTGTCCAGCGCAACGCTGAATCTTATGAAAAGGAGGAGTTTCCCAAAGCTGGAGTTAATTCTAACAGCAAATGAAAGGCGAAAGCCCTTGTTAAAAATAAGGAGAAACCCTGAGTATTGAGTCTGGATCTAGACATGCTGATTTTAAAAGTGGAATGAAGTAAAAGCTGGCACTGCTGTCAATTCTTTCCGTTTCTGTACCAACACCTTCTAGAATTCCTGGAGTAAACCCAGAAGTTATTCCAGATGATTCATCATCTCTTTTCTGTTTCATGGTATTGGTTACTGAGGGACATCATCACAGAACCAGTGTATTCCATCAATTCAGTGAATATCCAGAAAACCTTGTGGAGTCAAAACTGTTATGAGTACTGAAACTGGTATCTGTTTCACTACCAGAATTAAATCATTTTTATGCCGTTAGTATTTACTTTTTTACATATTTGAACTCTCAAAGGACAAGTAAATGGTGTCCAAATATTTTCAGCTTGATTTTTTTTTAACACACCCAGTTAAGTGAGTATCGGTTGCATGTGTTGTCACAGATGCCAGAGACAAGAAAACTGTCTCTTCTAAAATCGAAATTATGCAGCACCTCTAGATGTTCAAGTCAGAGCCTTATTCAATTGTGGTGGCTGTCCAAACAAACTACATCTACTTCATAATACCTTCTTTGGACAGTATCATTCAGTGAATTAGTTTTTATTGAACTTCATATTCTTTCAGTTTCACAAAATATTAATCACATGAACTTTTTCTTAATTTGACCTACCAGTACACAACTAAAAATGTTAAATAGGCATAATCATTACTTTTTATCTGAATTTTATACATATATATATATTTATCAGGCATAACTAGTATATACTAAAAATAAACTTATTAATTTAGTGGTTTATGATTTGTGCATTTTAAAATTATAATTTTTATCTTCAAATTTAAAAAATAATAACATTTTAACAATTTGTTCATATAATTAACTCATCCAATCTCAGTAAGGGCATAAAAATTAAAAGTCTAAAATAAGCCCATAGATACGAAACGCCTTGCTAAAGTATTGAGAAAAAAAATATTTCTGTATCACAATGTAATTGTACCCCCAGAAAACCGACAATTTTCGAGATTTGTTCTGTCTATTTCAAATTGCTACAAAAATTATTTTTTTTAAACTTGTTAATAAAAAGTTTTTCTCCGTTCTGATTTAATGTTTGCCAATCCTGTAAAACTAATAATAATTTCCCCTATCGTCCATTCAGTTCGGAGCAATTAGGTATATTAATAGTGTAATAGCATAAAAAATGGAAAAAGTATGACATATTGCCTACGATCACTTCAAATCTAATTATCCTGCCTAGAAATGAATGCGTCAGAATGTGGATTTCTTTGAACTAAGAACAAATAAGAGTTAAATTTGGCTCAGGTCTTTTATTCATGTTTGACTTAACAGTTATGGACTTTATTTTACATCAGAGTTTATGCCATCCATGCGAGAACTTAGTGGAGCCTGCCACGGCGATAACAATGAAAGTCACGCCATGGATGGCATGTCACGCAGAACTGATGGTAAACTGGTTGGTGACCTTAGCGATATCAGCTTCCTTGACCCAGTGAACCCAAATCTAGTGGCCATGTCGAATCAGCTGGAAAACATGAGAATTGGACAAACAAACGTCCTACCTGGCACTCTCTCACAGCCCATGTCTGTCGAAGAGAAGGTGGGTGGAGGATTTATGGTAATGCTTGACAAATGAATACAGTTTTACTAGCCAGATTTTTTAAACCTCTGACAGATTATCAATGAAAAATCTTGGCTAAAAAATCTTCTTTTTTTTTTTAACCTGTCAATTTTTTTTTTTTAACATATTTGAAAACTACATGAAGAAAAGTAGGTTTTTACTTCAATACTATGCCACAATTTTCATTTAACAAAGTGCAGCCATGTTTCAGAAATAATTCTCCATTTTTCATCATTAATAATAAATACAAAATTTTGATGCTCTTTTGTTATTCACTCATCTTTTATAATAGTTCATTTTATTCTTGTATTAGATGAAACTATCAGCTCTTGCAGAGAAACCTGGATACCTTTCATTGATGCTAGATAAATCCAGGCAAGCTTTGGAAGCATCAAGAGGTGGTCAAGGTCGACCTATCGTTAAAGGTACTATAACATCATTAATTTTTTTTTTTTATAAAAGACCATTAGCCTGTCTATTTGTATTAACACCTGATTTCTACTTGTAGATTTCGAATGTGAACACTCCCTAAGAATTTGTTACTTTGTCAATGACTTCTGCTCCTCTGCTCTAACCTTAAACTTATTGTCCAGCAGCATCCCAAGAATTGTCCCCTGAAGAAAGGTCAATGCTCCAGCAGCAGCAGCACTTTCAGGCGGTACAGCAGCAGATGATGATGCAACAGCCTCCACCCATAGCCCCCAATCAGGGAGGCAGGCCTGTAACTGGTGGAGGTACAAAGTCACAGCAGCCAAACTTTGCAACTTCACTGACTATACAAACGTCTGTGGCCCCACCCTCCCCTATGCAACAGACCAACAACAAGGTTGGTTCTGGTAGGGCAATTGTAGGCGGGAGTTCAAATCAGCAGCAGATGTCCAGCGGTCCGTCTGTGAATAATGCTCAAAACATGGCCTATATAAACATGTTGGAACAACAGCAGCTGCAACAATTTCAGAGGCGTCAACAGCAAATGGTAGGTTGTTTTCGCCACTTGATACTTAAGTGATTTGAGGGTATCAATTTATTTTTTTTTAATTTTTAAAGGGACTTCTCAGATATTTGTGTATTAATTTAACAAATTTCTTTATTTCGCTAGTCCCATGGAATGTCCCACCCACCACCAGCAATGGGCCTTCCTATCAACCACATGGGCCCCCCGCCAGTAAACTTACCAGTGTCGGGCAGATACCCTCCAACTCAAATTCATTCAGCAGCTGCTAATCCTGCTCTTATTACTCAACAGTTTGCTAGAGGTAGGGAACATGTTTTTTTAAGTTGTCATTAAATAACTATAACATAATTGTAACTCTAAATGAGTTAAAGAATTTTTCTTTTGTTTTTTACCTGATCATTTAAGATCAAGAGGTTTCCTCATATCCTAAAACAGTTTAAGCACTGGAAAGTAAATTGTCACATGATCTACTTATATGTTACCCTACTTTGTGTCCCCATGAAACCCTGTTACAATCTCCTGTACGATTTGGAAAAAGCTGGCTTAAGCATTTAGAGTTACAATGACAATACACAGACTGATATAGGCAGAAAAGTTTTAGCCTGAGATATTTTTTACTCTGTTTTACCTTTCTCTTGGAGAAATAAAGATTTTAAATTTGGAACATTTAAAGACGTAACATTTCCAGATAATGCTTTAAATAAAGGCTGTTATTAAATTACTCCTTCAAAAGCCCAGCAGCGTATTCATGCCATGGCCATAGAGCAGGCTCGACAACACCACGCCATGACTCCACTACACAACTTGGTGCCTGGGCCACTCAGCCCCCACAGCCAGGCAGGCCCCTTGTCTCCAGCTGCTCTCAGTGCAACCATCCAGAGAGTTGCTTCCCCTCATGGCATAAAGATGAGTGAGTATAGCTATACAAGTTTTACCAGTGTTACGTGTTTCTTTTAAACACTTCAAGACTTGGTTGAGGCAAATCTCATTTTGTTTATTTTGTTGCTCGTTGAAATTAAATTCCTCTTCCCATAAAACTGATAAAAGCATTGAGAAGTAAACAAGCTTTGAAATGTTCATGCCCTTTTCTTTCTAATGCTCATGACACTAGTTTAAATTAATATATACAAATTAAGTTTATCATATGTTGGTTAACAAAATTGACAATATATTAAAAAAAAAATTCTATTGTTGTATTACATCTGCTTGAGTATCACAGATATTAGCTGAAACGGGAAAATAATGTTCATCACATTTTAATAGCTTAATAGTTGGGGGAGAAATTTGTAAAGCTTCTGTTTTTATAGTAACTAAAAAATACATCTTAAAAGTCAGTTGATATTTTTATATATGTATGACTTGCTTAGAAAACAGGACACCAATTTCCCTTTTAGATGGACCTCTTCAACCTAACAACAGCATGAATGGAGGTGGTGGAATAGGAGACATTGGTGGAATCCAGCGCTGGTTCAGCTCTGACATCCTCAAGAATCAGCTGCCAAGCATGCCACCATTGCCAACTCAGGGTAGCCAAGTGATGACTGTGGATGAACTGGAGAGAAATTAAACTATTTTGATGTCACTGTCGGAAACAGAAGTGATGAAACATTCACATATAATTATGTCTATAATGCTTGAATATATGTGCATGTTTATATGTAGGCTTTATTAAAAAGTAAAATTGATTTTAAAGCTTCTGCAATTTAAAGATACTATATAAATTAAGAAGCATCCAAAATCTTCCTAAACAACAAAATATTCTATCCCAGTAATTTTAAATTCTACTGATTAATCTAAAGACTAAGATATAAGTAATCATCATATTCTTGTTGCACTGCTATCAATTATCTGGAGAAAATTCTAGACTTTTCCTTACTTCTCTGGTATGGACAGGCCAGGCACAAAACTGTCAAGTGCTTAGCACTGCTGAAAACAGAAGTGAATTGGCATTAATTGTTTTGTAAATAATTGTATTCAGGTGGCGTCGGTTGGCTTTTGTTTTCCTTGTTGGCGCCTGTTGTTGATGGTTGAAACTTGTTGACATTCTTTTGTTGTTTTTTTTGTTTTCACTTTTGTTTGAAGTTTCATTAATTAAGAGAAGCTTTAAAATTATTGAAACTTCTCTTTCTTTATCTGATTTAATTTTATACACCATGTTTGAAATAGTTATGCGAAAGTTTTTGATTGTGTAGATGTCTGAATCTAATCTATTGCCCTTCTGCTTAATATACAGCAGCCTTTATTTATTTAATAGCATTATGAAAGACCATTCTTAAATGGTGTATATTTGGGGTCTGAGCACACCCCCCACAAAGTGCTTATCAGAGGGGGGGGGGGGGGAATCACCAAGATATGTCTATTTGTTGCTGCCTAATCTCAGCAGTAAGAAGGATATCCATAAGGGTCACAGCACACCCTGAGCAAAGTGCTAGGGTCCCCCCCAAAAAGGGGTTCCTGGGGGGGGGGGGGGGGGAATCACCAAGATATGTCTATCTGATGCTGCCTAATCTCAGCAGTAAGAAGGATATCCATAAGGGTCACAGCACACCCTGAGCAAAGTGCTAGGGGTCGTAAGGTACACCCTCTACAAAGTTCCTTATTTAAGTATATAATGAGTTGGGTATTTGAGCGAGGCTGTCATACAAGTTTCTATAAAAGTTGTTGCAAAAATTCCAGATACACTTTGTGAACTCATTTTGAAATTTTTTTATATTTTTAGAATCTAGATAGATATGAACTTGGTGAATTCCATCAGGGCATGTGGCTTATTTTGTGATTTGTTTATTGATATTAAGATTGTGGTAACTTAGCATTGGGGCCTTTTTAATTTTTTTGATTACCAATTAATTTTTTTAATGTAGAAATTTCCTCCCGTCATGTAAGTATTTGGAGTTTTTAACCCTTTGTTTTTCAAATTTGAAGTTACGTATTATTTTATGGTTGAAAGCTCTTTATTTTTATGTATGAATTAACAGATTAATGCTTTCATTATTTTTGTCCATTAGTTTTACCACAATTTTTCCTGTTGTTGACAGATCACTTAATGACAAATGAAATGAATGAGGTATTGAAAGTGGTGTTACACCTATTTATGTACTGCAGTTTGATTGCTGTAAAGTTAACCCCTGGGTTTAGGTTAGGGTTGAATCGCTCTAAATTAGTCAGGTTAGACCAGAGATTACTCACTGGTTAATTTAGGAAATCTGTGAAGCAACAGTATGACAGTGTGTGTATATTAAGTGTAAATAACTGTACCATTGTAAATATCGTAAATACTGAAAAAAAAACCAAAAAATATGTTGTAGTTTGCATTGAATATTTTTTTTTTTTTGGTCTTTTTTTTTTTAAATATACTATAACATATTTTTGACAACAGCTTTGTTTTTTTTTTTTTTTTTTTTTTTTTTCCCCCCCCCCTAAAAACCAAAAAATATGTTGTAGTTTGCATTGAATATTTTTTTTTTTTGGTCTTTTTTTTTTTTAAATATACTATAACATATTTTTGACAACAGCTTTGTTTTTTTTTTTTATTTTTTTGTTCCCACCCCCCACCTTAAAACATGCTTCAGTATTCATCATAGTCCTTCTGACAGATGAAATGTATCCAGCTTATCTGCTTTTGATGGTACCTTTGAATTAAACTATTTGGTAACTGCTAGCCATCTGTGAACAATGTTCAGTGTACATATATGTATATAAATGTGTTTTGAATGGTTCGCTTTGTATCTAGAAGTTTTTATGCCCGTGACAACAAAAAAAAGCATATTGTTACTTTTTGTGTGTTAGTTCTATTTTATTCTCATCGTCTCACTATTTCAATGTTTCATTTTCTCATCCAGTTCTTTTAATATGTTTGCCACAAGTTAATTAATGCCAGATTTTTTTCATCATCATTTGTTTGTTGTTTTTTTTCTCATAAATTTTAAGTAACTTAAAATTATTTTGAAAGAGTTTTTTCAAATAATTTTTTTTCCTCAAACATTGTGTATAAAATTATATAATTATAATGCTTCATTCTTTCTTCCTTTTCTCTTATTTTCTATCCCTTTTCCCCCATACACCACCACCACCATCCCATTTTATTACTGCTATGAAGACATTTAGCTAAAGCGCAATCAAAGCACATGTAATAATTTTCTGTGATCTTTGAGAGTAATCACCCTTCCATTAAAAGGTCTCAGAACATAATGAGGTGCCTTTTTTTTCCCCCTCAATTTTTTGTAAAAATGAGAACCCTAATAATATTTAATTATTTCTGAACTAATTAAATTTAATTTCCAACTGTAATATTAGTTTAGTTCCCATCTCCATACCTTGGTACTATGGCTGTTAGCTGCTCTGCTTGATCTTTGAATCATGTCCTCAGTAATTGTCTTCATAGTAATGCAAGGGTGGAGTGTGGAATAATAGTGAAGTTGGTGGTGTTTTTTCTCATTTTGTACATAGAAAAGTTTTGGCAGCTTGGCTTTTTCTCTTTTTTTTTTAATATTCGAGACTCCGTGGGGTTAGCCATTTTCTTTTTTCAAATAAGTGTTGAGTTCAAAGAAGAAAAATATTTAACAATACAAATTTTTTTTAGGGATGTTAGGTGTGGAGCTAAAAAAAAACAATGTTTAAAAAAAAATAATTAATTTAAAAAAAACTTGTTCAAATTCCTGATGGATGATGATCAATGGTTTTTAATTGAACATAAACCACACATTTAAAAACTGATTTTTAGTGAAGAATATTCTATCCATTTTTTTCTTAGGTGCATTTTACAAACAAAAATATTTGTTTTTTTTTTAATTTAATGGATTATTAAAATTAAACGGCCCAAGAAATTAAAATTATTAATTGAATGAAGGGAGGATTTGAGAATTTAACTTCTTTCCTTCATTTTCCCCCCATTAAATGCATTCCTAGCTATTAGTCTGTATAGTACAGGGAAAGCTGTGTCCTGTTAGATCTTGATATCAAATTTCTTTTTCTTTTATTTATAACAATTCATTGAAGTATGAAATCCTTAACAATTCATTGCATTCTTTCATTTTCTCTCTCTCTCTCTCTCTCTCTCTCTCTCTCTCTCCCCCCCCTCTCTTAAAATGCACAGTTTAATTATTATGATTTTTATGATTTCAACTACTTCCCTCCAGTGTCTTATTTTAAAGATGAGAAAGATGATATCAAGATCTAATTAATATATGACGTAGACTTCAAACAGAGACTGACTGTTGACATACCCTGTTGAGAGTGTGGTGACAGAAAGTGATGAGTGGTGGAAGAGAAGTGTGGTGGCATGTTGTTGTTTTTTTCCTCTTGTGTGTGCTAAAACTTGTTAACACTGTGGTAAAGTGATGAGGAGATTGATGAAAGAAGTGTGTGTTGTAGTGGAGAAATGTTGATCTAAACAGTTTACCTTGATTGATTACTGTTGCAGATGCTGGCACTTTTGTTGAAATTGGTCTTGTTTGGAAAGAAATTTTGACAATTGTTTAATTTTTTTTTCAACTTCATTTTGTGTGCGTGTGTTATCATAAAGTGTCTATATATATATATATCTATCTATCTATGTTGAGCTAATCTTTCTTAAACACATTCACTTCCATCTGTTTCAAGTTCATAGTTATTTCAACTGAACTCACTTTAGGTTTTTATAAATATTTTTTGGAAACATCTTTGGACATCCTTGTTGGTTGACAGACCTCATGTGTTAGCTTAGTCCAATCATCGCAGACCGGATGTTACATTTTTGTCAAATCATTTGTTCGCAGACCGGATGTTAAAGTTTCGTGCAATCATTTGTTCCCAGACCGCATGTTACAGTTTCGTGCAATCATTTGTTCACAGACCGGATGTTACAGTTTTGTCCAATCATTTGTTAGTGCACTACATACCCTTAATCTTAGGTCTAGAGCACTACATACCCTTCTTGTCAGGTCTGCCTGGTTGTTTGTAGTTCTCTTACTCACTTGATATTTCTGTCCATTGTTTTACTTTGTATTCACTTGCTGGCCACCTGTTATTTGTCCAGTGCAGTCCTTTCACTTGATGTTTTTGCCTAACACTCAAATGTGTATTTATTTCAATTTTTCTGCAAACTCACCCATCTCCTTTCAAATTTTTCCCAGCTCTTTGAGGCATGCTTGCCCACATTCTGTACATTAATCACCTTTCTTTTGTACATTGTATTTCTCAATGTGGGTTAAGCCGATGTCTTAAATATTTCTTTTAGGAATGTGGTGAATTTTTGCTAGTTTCCTCTCCTTTGATTTTCCTTTTGTATTGACATTGTTGAAAATGGTAACTTGTGGTGCACAAGTTCTTTCCATTTTTGTGTTGGACTTTAAAATTATAATGGTAAAAAAAAAAATGATGGAGTCAAGATTCAAAGACTTCAATAAATTTTTTGTTTTCAAATATTTCAGCCGTCTTGGGTTTGTTTGCCTTTGTTCAATTGTAGAAGTTACCATTAAATAGGACAAATATAGTGATGAAATTATTGCCTTTTTGTATCATAGCAAAGATAAGACTTGATAAGTAAGGTTATTGAATGATATCCTATCGGCTGTTGCAGTCACTGGATCAGCCAACTACTTAACACTACCATAGACATCAGTAGTTAGCATATTTTTTAATTTATGAAATTATAGTTCATAAAGTTTCTGAGAGAAAACAATCACTTAAATTTAAAATGATTTGCAGTAACAAAAATATAAAAAAATTATAATCATAACCACTCTTCCTACTGCCAACAAAAGTATCAAAACGCACACAAAAAATAGATTCTCAAATGCCAAACTCTGAGCCATGAAGTCGCTTCAATTTAGCGAACCAGTCGAAAGCCTTGCACCTCAAGTCAAAGTGTCAACTTTTTCATATTTATCTTTGGGACTGTACTCGAGTGAAGCTCATTTGGAGTATTTGTTAACCTCTTCTCTTAATAATGACCCAATAAATAATGGATGTGTGAAATACACAGATCTGAAGATCTACATGCAAGCTTATCTTTAGAAATAAATTGACCTATATTGTAATGATTAACATCACACCAGGCCTGCAGCATAAAGTTTTGCATATTTCGATAGTTTTGTGTTGAAGTGGATTCACAGCAAGCAAAGTGAGAGATGATCTTTGCAAATGGCAAGCTTATGTGTTGATCCTGTTGTGGGCAGATCAGGTACACATTTAAGCCATCATTACTCCCAGATAATTCTTTACGAGTTCTGCCGGTTCCAAGGGACGAAGAAGCAGTTGGGGTTTTGGGTGTTCTTGCATCCATCTTGGGTTATCCAGAAAGAACGATCTCTCCATGTACATCATAGACTGTAACAAAAGGTCCCTTCAACCA